GGTCAAGCTCAAAGCATTAACAACGCCAAGCAAACAACTCCAGAGAACCAATAAGAAGAAAATCATGCCAGCACGCTTGACATCCCCAGAATCATAAAGGACAACAACGTCACTTCCTGACGTCCCAAATGTTTCTGTGCATTCATAAAAAATGACACTATCTCTGGAATATTCTGCTTGGACAGTGTGGTCTTGTTGATCGTCACCAGAAACATCAACAACAACAACATCATCAACGGTAACAGGAACAACATCTATGGGATCAATAATAAGATCATCATCGGGAACACCAATAGGATTAATAAAAATTACCTTTTTAAATTCCTGGTCCTGCAAAGTTGTGTTCTGCACAGCTACTGTAGGGGCCAAATCTCGGGGAGTGCCAATGAGTTTCCTTATAGAGCGCATCATGGTTGTTTTGAAAATATATAACTCTATAGGAATCAGGCTCGGCATAATTGGGAGACCACGGACTAAATTTTGTATTGAACAATAGGCCTCTACGGAAAACGCATATACCTCGAAATCATATTTTGGTTGACCTTCAATGTGACGGAATGCCTGATGCTGAGGTTATTGTTGTTTGTAAATCGAGAAGTATTGGACCCAGTTGCATTCTTTTCATCGAGTTGATTGCATGCAATTATTTAACTTGTGTTGGAGATGGTGTAGATCCAACGCGTTCTTTTGATGCTCCAATAAGTAAGGTGTTTGACCTCGGAGGATGGACGATGAATGACGCACTTTTTCCCTGTTCTTTGTTGAATTTCCAACTTGAGGACAAGTTGGTTTTTGAGGCGGAGAGAGTGATACAAGATTTATTATTATTATTATTATTATTATTATTATTATTATTATTATTATTATTATTATTATATTATTATTATTATTATTATTATTATTATTAGGTAGTATCATTATTTATGGTTAGTTAATTATATTATTATTAGAAAGTAATATTATATTGTTAGGATATTTGTTACCATTTATAATTAGGATTCCTAGAATATTTAATTTCCTTCTATGGTAAGGATTCTTTAGATGTCCTAGCTATAAATGTATCCATTTGAATGAATAATTGATCAATGAATAAAGAAAATACTTTCTCCTAAACTTTAATCCCTCTCTTTCTCACCTCTTTTGTTCTTGGAGCTCGAAGGTGCTCGAAATCCTTCCCTATCCCGATACGATATCGTATCAATTGGTGCTCTCATTGAGAGCACCAATTGATACGATATCGTATCGGGATAGGGAAGAACTTCGAGCGTTCTTCAAGCTCCAAGAGAAAAAGAGACGAGAAGAGGGAGAGAACCGCGAATCTTTGTTCGGTGGAAGAGAAGAACGAGAGATAAGAGGAAGAGATTAGGGTTGGAAAATGATTGTTCTTTATTGATTTAATTCTAAAGCAATACATCTCAATATATAGAGTGAAACTCTAAAAGCCTAAGGGAATCCAATCTCTAAAAGGAAACTAAATAAAATAAGAAACTAATTAATAACCTAACAAAAATAATATTCTCTAATAATAATTATCTAACTATAAATAACTTCTTACCTACAATAATAATAATAATAATAATAATAATAATAAT